ACTAAGGGAAAGCCATTATATTTAATCCTAATCCATGTCCTCCTTTAGCAATAATTTCAGTTAGTTAACATGTCTGAAACATGTTTCTCTGAAATTTTTCATATCAAGTATTCTTCTGAATTTGGTGTCATTTGCTAATTCAGTGAATGCTTTTCTTCTTCAGGTTTATGTATATCACTGATTTTTTTAATCACTAAATTCTGAGTTCAAATGTATTTTAATCACTTGTATGTTGGAGAAATATTGGCTAAATGAAGTTTAGTTAAACCATCCAGCATCTACTTATTGATTTTTTTTCCTTTTTACTATGTATATTATCTCGACTAGGACTTTTCTGAGGCCTTATTTAAATGTTGATGTACATGAAAATAGGCCCATATAACTTCCAAATCCACTCTGGTATCAGTTTCTGAATAGATTAAATTAGGTTGTGCTTCAACAACAAACAATCCCCAAATTTTAGCAGTTCAAAAACAGCCCACGCTCATTTCTTGCTCCTGCTACTTGTATATACCATTTGTCAGCAGATGGCCTTTGCTTATTACAGTCTGTAAGTGACTCAGCCTGGTGGACCAGCAAACATTTTTGCCATACATTCTCCCCTTTCTCCCCTCCCACTTCCCTCTACTGCCCAACTGGACAATAATAGTGTTTTATTATTCTCAGGGACATATAATTATTTATATATTGATTTCATATTAGTATGGAGTACATTGGATATTTATTTTTCCATTCTTACAGTACTTCACTAAGAAGAATATATTTCACCTCCATCCAGGTAAATGTAAAAGATAGAAAGTCTCCATCTTTTTTAATGGCTGAATAATATTCCACAGTATACATATATAATAGTTTGTTGGTCCATTCATGGGTTGATGGGCACTTAGGTTGCTTCCATGACTTGGCAATTAAGACCTTTTGAGCATTGATAATTTCTTCTTTCTCCTTATCCTCCTCCTCATCATCCTTTTTTTTTTCAGTTACAGCTTATTGGGATATAATGTTTCTAGGTTTGGTTTGCTTTTGCTTTGTTTTGTTACAGAGAAAAAGAGTCTTGGGTAAGGTGACCAGATTTTAACATTGGTAAAGCGGGACACCATTGACAGGGGGTGGGGGTGCAGGGTGGGGGACGGGGCAGGGTGGGCCTGACAACAATGCAAACTTTGATAAGCAGTTCTTGATAATCACTTCTCAACAATTATTTGTTATTATTACAGTTTAACATTATAACATTAACAAAAAATAATATAAAACTCATATCCTGGTGAAATAGCCACATGGCAGCCAAAAACTGTATATTCCCTTACTGTTCTCTTGCCCATTCATGCATTCTTTCCAAAAATCAGGACTTTTTAAAAACACCACGGGATGCAGGACAAATTGTTAAAAATCAGGGCGTCTGGTCACCCTAGTCTTGGGGAGTCTTTCTCCAGCATTTAAATATTCTAGCCTAGAAGTGACATTTGTCATTTCTGCTTACAACTCATTGCTTAGAACTAGTTACATGGCCCCAACTAACCACAAAGTATCCAAGAAATTCAGTCCTAAAATGTACTCAAAAGGAAGGAGCCAGAAAGATACGGTGAACACCGCTAATGACTATCACATGTGAGAATAGTATACAACACTTCTCAGAACGGTTCAATGACACTTTTCTTCATGAGGCATGTGGAATACCATGTTTCATGAAGGCTACCTTGAGAAACATGGAATTCTAGTCTAGAAAACAATAAAGTCCAATAGAAGCAAATCCACTAGAGACTTTCTTCACTTCATTATGCAGTTTTCCACCAGCCTCCTTTGGCTGTGGTCAATCAGTCACCTACACCTCCCTGGGTGTTACCATCCATTCCTCTTTCCTGTTTGAAACCCTTTTGTGAAAGAGTTTATGTAACTTCTTGCACAAAGCAAAAGCTGTTCAGCCTGTAGCATCCTTTTTGAGTTACAGGGCTATTTTCTTGAAACAAGATGCATTTGTTTTGACTCTTGAATCCATGAGTTGAAACCATAGTTGAATCTATTTCAATGAAACTACAAAGAAAGAAATCCTAGATTTTGCTTGACATCTGAGTAATAAAAAATGGATTCTAAAGTGTGACTGGAGAACACCAAAAGGCGACACTATCTCATATTACATATTCTCCCATGTAAATAATCAGACATGACTGCCTGCAAAGTAGGAAGTTGAGGCTGTCTACGGGATAAGCCACAAGAACAGGAAGGATTGAGGCATGAAGGCAATAGCCTCCTTCCAGGGGAAGTTGTAACCGAGGAGGAATACTTCCTCAGGCTGCCCACAGTAACATAGAGACACGATTTATTTGCAAACTGTGAAGCAGTAGCCATGCTCTTTTTTTAAAATTTATTTTATTTTTATTTATTTTTCTGAGACAGAGTTTTACTTTGTCACCCTCGGTAGAGTGCCATGGTGTCACAGCTCACAGTAACCTCTAACTGTTGGGCTTAAGCAATTCTCTTGCCTCAGCCTCCCAAGTAGCTGGGACTGCCCATGCCCGTCACAATGCCCAGCTATTTTTTGTTGCAGTTGTCATTGTTGTTTATCTGGCCCATGGCTGAGTTCGAACCCACCACCCTTGGTGTATGTGGCTGGCGCCATAACCATGGGCACTGAGGCAGTTCCCATGTCCTTTAATAAAATACATGTGGACTTTGGTGTCCCGGAGCTATATGTGCGTCCTGCCATGTATTTCTATTTAAGGTGGGCTTTGGCCAGGAGAGATCAGAGGGAGTATGGTGCTGCTGGAAACTGCCCTAATGATTTTGATTTGGTGAAAAGGAGACACCTATGCTGATCTGGGCTTATAAGGACAACTTGCCCCCAATAGAAGGGGTTGGTCTCTTACAAAATTGAGTCAACAAGCTCATGGACTGATGTGGTATTGGCTTTTGCCCTGGCAAGTTGTAAGCATGACATAAGGTCAGTTTCTTGGGTATCTATAAATCCCAAGAATGGGGAATTCTGACAACAAGAAAAAGAGGAATCAGAAAGGACTTTTTGTGGGTGCTCCCTAATTCAGAGTAAAGCATACCCTTCTGCCCGTACTTTTCCAAATCTTACAAAATGAAACCAAAGAGACTCTTTCAGAAAACCATCAGTGTTTAGCTTTTGTGACTGTAGAGGAGACTGTGTATCCTAAAAGCTGAAATATTTTACGATTTTAGGTTTCGTTGTTTGCCCTTTTTGTTGATGGAATGTATTGAGGGCTGAGAGAAGACAAGGACAGGTGAACAAGGCTGCATGGGGAGAGAGCACTGGGTTGGGAGAGGGGAGACCTTGCATCTGGACCAGCGATTGTTGCTGACCAGTAATGTGGCTTCTGGCAAATGGTGTCCCATCTCTGGGCCACAGGATTCCTCTTTTGTTAGACAAACAAAAACCATAGCAGCTTAGAGCCTGCAATGACAGCCCAATTGTACAGTGTTGAAAAATTTTTTCTTTTTGTTTAGTGCCTTTCTGTTTGGAGAGCCCTTCCTTCTGCTTCCGTAATTTATTTGCTCCTCACAACAGTCCGGGTAATTAGTAGTTAGGGGGTGCTTATTGCCCCCACGATTTATGACAATAGTCCAGCGATGCACACACAACTCCAGGTGGCCAAGATTGCATACAAATCTGACTTCCCTTCTGGGCTGAGTTGTTTCTATTAGATGGTTCTAATCAACTTTTTTAGCTAATAATGTAGAAAGCTCCAGAGCACATTTTCTTCTTTTTTATAATTAATCAATTTTTAATTTTTTAATCGACAGATAATAAATATACATATTCATAGAGTACATAGTGATGATTTGATACATTCAATGCATAATGATCTGATCAGGGCGTAGCTATTTGAAACAATATGTGGATCGCTATGAAAGTTTTGAGACAGACTGTGTTATAATCCATATTTCACTTCCAAGAAACACAGTCAATAGTGTCCTTTCTGATTCACCTGTGCAAGTTTCAACTTGCTTGGCTTATCCTTATTGCTGGGAGGGCTTCATTTGTTTCCATCTGAGCATTTCTTGATTCTTTAAAAACTTTCGTAATGACCCACATACATTATATTTAATTTAAAATATTATTTAAGGACACTTAGCTACCTCTGAGGTGCTGATCAGCACCATACATAGACACTCACAAACCACAGAAAGCGGAATTCTCCCAATTGATGTTGTTTCTCTTCACAATTGTGGGATTTCCACCCAGTTCTTTCCTCACGTCCTTTGCCGTGAAGGTCAACGATTTGTGCCTGGCCCCCTTGCCTTTCTGCCTGTGGTTTTACACATGAGTGCTGACAGATGTGGCCTCGGCAGGTGCTTATAGTGACACCACACCTTCTGAGAGGTGTCTCCCTCCTCAGTTGGATGTGACTAGTTTCTCTTCCATAATAGCCTACTCTGAAAGGAATGGCCATGGCTATTTGAGTGGGCATAAACAATAGCGTCAGGAATCCTTTTAAATTCAGGAAGACAAGTATATTTCACCGCAGCCATCTTTCCAAACACAGGCAACCTCAGATATTTCACTTGAGATGTGTTAGGGTTCTAAAAAAAAAAAAAAAAATTCATGCTCAGATAGAGTCCTTTTTAATGTCTTGCACTTTGGGTACTTGGATAAGCTTTATTTCAGTGCCGCTGGCCATGGCAGATAGCCACACTCAGCTTTGATCTTCTAGGTTGCAAGTTTCACAGTCCAAGCCTCGTCATAGGTGGTGCCAAAATATTTTGTTTCAAATACCGTAAGTATTTTCCACATCTTCACCTAAACGTCACTTGCGAGACTCCATCTTGCTAACCCTTTCCTGCAGGTTAGCTGCATTTCCATACTTGAAATTACTTCATTCCTTGTATGAATTTGTTCCTGAGTCTTCCGTGATGGGGCAGAGGCTCTGTGTGGTCCAGGCAGTGCTGGAATCACCCACCTCTAATGTCCCACACCTGGTTAGGGCAGGCATTTGGGGATCACGGAAAGCCTGACTGCCTGCTGTTTTGTTTCGCAGGAGCAGACGACCTGCAGATAAATGTCACCCCGACCCCGGATTCATTTCCTCATGGGAAATTGTTACCAATTTCACCAACATGGCCTTTCTCAGAAGTCAAGTCTTCCTCAGCAGTAGACAGCATCAAGACTGCGCTGGGACAGTCCCCTGACAACACCAGCTTGCCACTGCTAGTCCAGACCCCTCCACCCAAGACGCGCCGCAGAGCTAGATCTCATGTGGACTTTCCTTCACTTTTCCAAGGAAGTGGGTATAGCGCCTCCCTCGAACCTTTCAAGGATTCTACTGAGTCTCTGGTCCAACCAAGACCTCAAGGGGGAAAAGAAGCAGCAGCTACGTCAGGTTTGCCTCTCAACAGCATGCCTCCCTCCGTGTCCACGGTCCCATCAGTGACGTCCCTGAGCACTGTCCTCCCATCTCAGCCAGTTCAGGCAGGGGCTCCCTCCACGTCAAAGCATCCCCCCAACTCAGACGTTCTCTTTCCACCTTCATCCTCTTCATTGGCCCCTGACTCATCTCATTCCATCATCTTTTCTAAGCCAACAGAGCGGCCCACCAAAGTGCCTCTAGTCCCCTACCCAGGTCTAGCTGGTGCCACTTCAAGTCAGAGCGTAGCTAATCTCCTAAACCCATTTTCTGACAAAACAGACCTCACTCCATCCAGAAATGCCCAGGATTTTATAGGAACCCCTAACCTGGATGTTCCAAGATCCTCAACAAAGCAGTATTCCAAGCTGTCCCCAAGAGAGGGTCCCCACTCAGCAGGTTCACCCACACCAGGGTTTGGGGGCTCCAGGGCAGAACAGGCCCATTTGTCCCTCCCTACCCCAGCCCCTGGGAGTCTTCTTCAGCTTCTGGGTAGAACTCCCTTATGGTCAATGTTGGAAGTGGCTTCAGGTCCTGTGTCCATGCAGCCAGTCAAAGCTGAGGTGCCTGAAAGCGTGCACAAGGGGGTGTCTTTGCCGACTTTTAAGAGCACAGCAGCAGCAACCCATGAGGCTGAGTCTCCAGCTTTCCAGCCTGCAGAATCAGTGGCCATAGAAATGATCAGCAGACAGCTAGCCCCCGCTACTACCAACGACTCTGCTAACCCGCTGCATTTGTCAGCAGCTCCAGAAAGTTCCGGAGGGCCCACCCTTTCAACAGAACACACATCTTCCTCTTTGGTGCCTTCTCCTCTGCCTATCTCCACACCAAGTCAAGGGCAAGCCGGGCTCTCTGGGGTAGTTCCCGCATCACCATCGCACAGGACAGCCTATTTTCCCTCCACGCTTACTTTCCTCCACGCCACAGAGAATCATGCCTCCCCACCCCCTGTGCCCACTTCTCCAGAAGAGGCCCGTGATGTATCCTTTCTTACCGCCACTAAGGACTTCCTCATCTCAAGCCGAATTTCTCATCTTTTTTCAACGACTTGGACATTTCCCCCCTGGAAAGAGGACAGTGTGACAGCCATTTTAGGAAAAAATGAAAAGGCAGGTGTGACAGTTCCTCTCCAGGCCCTTCCAAGTAAAGAAGTTTTGAGTCTTCACACTGTAAAAGGATTCATCTCTGATCTTAGTACTGATCAGAGTTCACCTGCCCTCCTTCCAACACGAGGGACAAAGCTTCTTCCTTCAGAATCACCTCCACCTTCTCCGCCCTCCATACAAACCACCCAGACTGTTTCCCCACCTCCTGTCTTCTCCAACACCATGCCAGGGACTTACGCAGCTACCGTGGACCATTCACAGTTGCTAGCTTCAGCTTCGAAACAGGTGACAGCAATTCCCTCCTCCACTGTCTATGATTTCTCAACAATGGGAGACACGAAAAAGCCAGCAACCACAGATGTTTTCTGGAGTCCTCTTTCAGCAGTAACTGGATCCCTTTCCACAGAATCAACATTATCTGGCTTGCAGCAGCAAACAAATTATGATTTAAATGGACATGCAATTAGCTCCACAAGTTGGGAAACCCATTCGGCTTCAACCACTCCTCCTAGTGCTTTAACTTCAGCTGCCAGTGCAATACAATCTCAGGATTTCAAAGATACTTCTGGGCATTCAGTGACTACAGAAGGCTTTAACATTCAGAATCAAGTCCTTGGTGCAAGCGCCAACCAGCCGGGACAACAGTCAGACATGGCTATGCTTTCAAACCATACAGAACTCTGGCCCACAAGCAATAACAGTCCTTCTAGAGACTTCCCAACAACTGAGGTTGACTACCACCCATCCACACGTCAACATTCTGTGTCTCATTCCTATCTAAAGTTGCATGCCCGGACAACACATCCTCTTTTGCTAACCTTACCAAGTCTGACTTCTGCATCTAGCTTACAGGAAATGCTTTCAGATGGAACGGAGACAGGTTCCCAGATTTCCAGTGACTTCTATCCATCACCTGTGACAAATGCTTCCACAGCATTCCAGAGCATCCTGAGAAATCACTCTACAGCTGAATCTCCTCCTGTATCAACCAGTGCCTTTTCCAGGACCCCCTCCAAAGTGCTGCAGGCTTCTCAGCACCCCATGAAATGGACAGGTGCAGCCACTAGTGGAGGTAGTTTGTTTCCTGGTTCCCCCCAAACAGGTACGACTGCTTTTGTAGCCAGAACTTCTTCAGGCTCAACACAGACACCAGCTTTGCTCTGAAGGAGCATACACCCCCTTTCAGGAGAGAGTTAGCACCCCAGATAGTCATGTTGTTGATGATGTTTTGAAAGTGTTCAGACCTTGTGTCCTCCTTATCAACCACAGCTTTGCCATAAGTGGCATTCTCATTATGGTTAATTAACTAAATGAGCTGAGCATTGTTTTCAGTAAGTTCTCCCACTGCAAGCCCAGAGGGCAGGGACTTTTCACCATAGCAAACCGTAAGTTACATCCATTCATCATTGGAGCAAGTGATGCCTATGTTCTGGACCAGTGACAAACTTTGCTTTTTGTCTCTTTACAGTGGACTTCTCGATGTCAGCCAACGTAGAGCCAACAGCAGTAGCAGCAGCCGCTGCCACGTTGTTTCAGAGGAAACCGAGCCCACCGGCACTGTCTGCGGCTTTGGTTGCTAAGGGTACTGGCAGCAGCCCTTTGGCCATAGCCTCAGGATTAGCCAAGAGCAGTCTGACCACTACTCTCACTAAAAATGTCACAAACAAGGCTGCATCTGACCCAAAGGGGACACAAGGGGCTCTCCACACAGCCTTCCCATTCACGCCAACCTACATGTTTGCAAGAACAGCTCACACCACGAGCACATATACAGCCATGCAAGGGAATGCGGGCACCGCCTCTGGCCTGTTGTCCACAACACACCTCTCCAGGAAACCACAAGCCATGCACACAGGCCTCCCAAACCCCACCAACCTGGAGATGCCCAGAGCATCCACCCAACGCCCGCTAATAGTCACAGCGGCATTGACATCCATGACAGCCTCAGTGAAGGCCACCCGCTTACCACCTTTGCGGACAGATAACACTGATGCAGCTCTTCCTGCTGCATCAGCTGCCGTGGTTACAACTGGGAGAACGGCGTCCAACCTGGAGTGTCAGATGTCCAGTAAGCTCCTGGTGAAGACAGGTATGAAGCCACTGTCCTTTTGCTTTTATTTGAGATGTAACAGGTGTTTTTCTTTTAGATCAGTGGTTCTCAACCAGGGGTGATTTTGCTCCCCCTCCCCCAGGGGACATTTTGGTTGTCATACTTGGGGGTAGGGCTGCCAGAATCTAGTGGGGGTAGAGACCAGGGATAGTTCTAAACATCCTGCAATGCACAGGATAGCCCCTAACACCAAGAAATAATCTAGCCTGAGATGTCCATAGGGCTTGAGGCTTGGAAACCTTGATCTTCATCAACTGTCAGAGGAAAGGAAGCACCTTATTGACATGGGTACTAGTTCTAGGATCAGTCTTGATGTCAGAGGCCCCTAGGGAACCACAATTGACCTGTGAACTTGGAGGGCAAACGTGCACCATTTTGCCTGTAGAACGAATCAGTGATGTTTCACAGGAATGTGTGATGCAGTTCATAAGATATGAGATCTTGGGAAATGCCCCAGAGTTCAGAAAGGCTTTTTGTCTCATATTTTCTCAATCAGGAGATTGTATAAGTACAGAGACTGCATGCTATGTGGGGGCCCAGGATTTCTTTGCATATAAAGAGAAGACGCTTGAAAAAAGTGGGGTGGGCAGCACTAGAACCGTGAGCAGAGCTGGGATGCTATCTTTTCAGCCCCTACTCTCCCCCAGTGGTAGAAAAGTAGGCCTGGGATGCACAGGGTGCTTTTAATAGAGTGGTAGTGTTTGCTATAAAAAGCATTAGACAGATTATTTGAAAGAGCATGCCAATGCTGAATGCTCGCATGCCGGCTTCCTCCTCACCCCACAAAGAATTAAATGAAATGGTATCTTGAGACATCCTATTCTAAAATGGGAAATTGTGAAACTAGGCATAGCAGAAAGTACGGTATTAAAAGAGATATTTCTCAAAAAATTATACACACACCATCTGGGGTTCCACTTCCCGTGTCCCTCCCCTGCCCTCTGTCCTCTGAGTGGCAGGCAGCCCCTGGCCCACCCAATGCCAAAGTCCGAAACAGTCTTCCCCTCCTTTCTCCCCCAAGTCCCACCCCAGCCACATCTAATCAGTCACCGGTTCCTTTCACTTCTACCTCCTGAATATCCCCTTTCTATCCTATTTCACACTGTCAGCATTGTTCATCTAAGTTTCTGTACCACCAGCCAGATTTAACTCTGTGCCTTCAGACTTCCCCCCTCTCCAATCTGTTCTCCAGTCTGCAGTCAAGGGAACCTTCTAAAATGCATTGTTTTCCTTAAAACTCTTTGTTTCCCATTGCCCTCAGGATCAAACCTAATCATGTACAGATGATACCTGATCATGTATCATCTGTGGGGCAGACATTCCAAGACCCCCAGTGGATGCCTGAAACCTCAGATAGTACCAGACACTATATATACTATGCTTTTTCCTATACACACATACTTATGACAAAGTTTAATTTATAAATTAGGCACAGTTGAGATTAACAATAATAACTAACAATAAAATGGGACAAGTATAATATACTATAATATGTGGATGTGCTTTCTCTCTCTCTCTCTCAGAATATCTTATTGTACTATAACAAGTACAAAAGTATTTATTGTAAGTATAAATTATAACCTATTTTCAGACCGACATTGAGCCAAGGGCAAGTGAAACCATGGAAAGTGAACCCATGGATAAGGGGGAACTGCTGTTCACTGAAACATTTCTCTTCTCTCTCCTGTGCCTTTATACTTGGTATTTCCTCCTTTGGGAGTGAGTGGAGTCAGTACTTTCTTCCTTAGCCAAATTTATTCCTGTTATCTTTCAGGACTCTGCTGAAGCATCAGTTCTTATGGAAACCTTTCCTGATCCCTAGCCCCTTGCCCAACTCAGGACCTCAGAGAGCATCATAGGCTTTCCTTCAAATAAGCACCTGTAACATTTAGTTGCAAAAGCCTCTTTTCCATCCTGTCTCCATCCCTGCCTCTGTCTCACTTGTGAGGCAAGGACTGTACCTACCTGCCTTAGGGTTGCCTGAGGATGCTACATCTAGCTCAGGGCCTGCACCCAGGTAAGCTGTCCATGAATGTTGTTGCAGGAATTTTGCTGCATGCAGCGACCCATCCAGAGAGGGCGCTGCTGATCCTGACTGTCATTGTCAGAGGCAGCGTCTGTCAGAAATGAACTGCCACAGCATACCACTCTCTCTCCATTAGGGCCACACAGGTGACCAGGGACCAATAGAGCTAATACCCCTGCCTGTCCTGTTAGTGGCTGGACCTGTGCTTGCCCACTTTACTCAGAACATACAGAAGGTGGCTTCCAGTAGGAGTGGAGGGCTCATTGATGATGTGATTCACTGCCTTACCCTGATGGCCATGCTTCTGTTTTGCCCCACAGTCCTCTTTCTGACCCAGAGGAGAGTGCAGATCAGTGAATCCTTGAAGTTCAATGTAGCCAAAGGGCTCACACAGGCACTGCGGAAGGCTTTCCACCAGAACGACGTCTCGGCTCATGTACGTAAGCCCCTTGCTTTGTAATCAGAACAAGTCTACCTCTGGAGTCCAGAGTATCTTTAGATTGTTTTCCTTCTTTCTAGGTACCATAGCTGTATTGGCCAGAAGTAGAATCTTTCTTCATTTTGACAAATAGCTAATGTGTAGTGGCTGGAGAAAAAGGTCACATTTTGAGATGGGAAGTTGAGGCTAATTGCCTTATGTCTGGATGTTTTTTAAAGCCTGGAAATAGTGTTTTAAACATTTCCATTATCCCATAGTTTGAGAAAGTATTTAATACTGTTAGTGCAATTCTCTCAAAGTGTCCGTTGTTTTTTCTTTTATCTTCCTCACTTTGTAAATCGTGACTTATTTATGGACATTTAAAAATTATTCCAACTTGTAAATTGAGTCTAACTTTGCTTCAATTGCCAGCGGCAGAGAAGTAAACATTTTTCTCCTCTCCAAGGGCTTTAATGCCAAATACATTTTAACGAGTGCTGGCTGATTTCTGTGGCATATTCAAGTGATGGAAGCTTTGCTTTACACTCTTTGGGTTTGGGCCCAAGTGTTCAAGCAGTAAATGCAATTGGCAGTTGGTGGACTCCCTTTTGCTCCACTAAAAAATATTTCTCTGGCTTCCTCCTTTGATGTTCTGTCCTACAGCTGCACCCAGTTTAGCAATCCCCTCCTGACCCATTATACTAAAAAGATTTGTCTCATGGTTTATTAGTCATTGTCAATCTCTTTTATATAATTCTGGAAAAGAATGAAGGGAAGGAAAAGAGAGAAGAAAGGAAGGAAGGGAGGGAGGGGAGAAGTGTGTTCTACAAGAAGCTTCTGTGGTTTCTGCAACAGAAACTATTTAGAAGTTGAAAATGTGAATGTTTCCATTTAGTTCCCACTATTAGCAAAGACCATCATGGCAATTAGTATTAGGTTTTTAAGTTCACTTTTTAAAACGGAAATTCATTTATTTTGAAAGGATATGTGAGATTACCATCATGTATGGAAATCAGGATCATTTATTACAAATAAAAGGCAATGGTAAAAATGACAATAGTGGAAAGTAAATAGCTTGTTGAATTTAAGCAAGATGTTGTTTCTGCAGAATACCCTGGTGTCCTTTGTTTGCTTACAAAAGAAACGAGCAAGGTGTTAACATGAGAGATGTTAAAAGCAAATAGTCACGGAGCTGAGGCTTGTTCCTTGGGGTAAGCTGAGGCGTTGAAAAGAGAGCAGCTTTCTCACTGGATGATTTAGTGAGTTTTTTGTGCTATGTCATCCATGTCCCATCCTGAAGCATCTCTTATTCCAGCTAAAATCATCTTGAGCACCATCTTTTGGAAAGACTGGGGAAAGCAGACAGCATGGAGGAACCAAAGGCATGCCCATCCTGTTGCAAAGTCAATCATCTTGCTTCCACTAGAATAAGAATAAGAGGGGGAGAAGCCAGTATTAAAAACACCCCAAGTTCCAGTTTTATTATCCCAAATGAAAAGAGTTCTGGAAACGGATGGTGGTCATCCGTTTGTATACCGTTATGAATTTACTTCATACCAATGATTAGCACACTGAAATAGGGTTAAGATGGTAGATTGGATGTTGTATGTTCTTTATCACAATAGAAAAATTGTGAGGAAGATGGCAAAATGGCAGACTAGAAGTAGCCCACCACCCTTATCTCTAGGCAAGGATTGAAAACTGCAAGTAACTGTCCACCTGGGGATGGACCCTCTTGGAGAAAGCATTGTGGATCATCAGATAACTGACAGAATGACAGAGACAAGAATGGGGACTTCCACTCACCAAGATCGGAAGGTACCTGGGGGAGACCCCCCTCTTTGGAGAAGGGACAAAAGAGAGAGCCCTAGAGCCCTGCGTTCCTTGCATAGATATTGTGACTCAAGCTGTGAGGGCTCGACCACCACTGCAGGCCTCCGTGCTGATCAGGGAACTATTTAGAGACTGTATAGGGAAGTAGCACTGGAGAGCAGACTTGGCAAAGACTTGCTGGCCTTGGTTCCCAGACTATTGTAGTTGATGCTCTGAGCTATCAGGTCCAGAGCACCCGGTCTACATGGGGATTGGCTTCACCGTAACTGCCCCAGCATTGCCTCTTGCCAGGCCAAGGGGGAAGCAAGGAAACCAGATATTCTCACATGCCTATGATTGGGAGCCAGGTACCCACCCTACTCACCAGGGAACTTGAGAAAAGCTCAAGGGGTCCCATAGTAGCAGCCTCAGTGGGACCTATGGTGGGGAGATTGCTGTAGCCATCCAGCAGCTCAGCCCCATGGTCCTTGCACTGACATATGGAATAAGCCCCCTGGCCTTGTGTTATTGTGCCAAGGCCCACGGTCCCTCTGACTGGGGCACTGAGTAGAGGTGCACACCCTCATGGACCCACCCACCAACTAGTAGGCCATGCACATCAAATGGAAGACCAAGCCCCTGACCCATGCACCACATGGAGGTCCATGCCCTGTGACCTATGCTGTATGGGACCCATCCTAGCCTTATGCACTGACCAGTAGGCCATGGCCCTATAGACTGACCCACAGTGTGGAGGGCTGCACCTCTTGGTCTTGTGCACCAGCTAGCAGGTCACACCCCTGTGACCTGGAACACCAGCCAACAGGCCATGCCCCTATGACCCCGAATACCAACCAGCCATTGTTAGCATGGCAGGGAGACTTGGGCAAAACAGCGTCTTGCAGTGCCTGCCTCAGTGGAGAAGAACTTATTTAGCTTCCTGCTTAAGCTTCTAGCAGTGATCTAGCAACCAACCCACCACTACAGATGAAGATAGCCCAGCACTGACCAGAGTCCTTCAATCTGCCCAGTCCTACAACCTGCCTGGCCAAGGTCTTGTGATGCACCCAAGTACCTGCCAAGTTCCCATGACCTACACATTTGCCAGTCAAGGTCATACCACATGCCTCCATGAATAAGGACTTGTGCAGCCACCATCCAAGCTTCCATTAGTGGCCTTAGAGACCAATCTACCAATCTGAAAGACTATCTTCCAGCACTGGCTTAGATTGTGACGACCACGGGGATGGAGATGATGAAGGAGAACAGCTGCATTACAAGCTTTTAGTGCATCTACCACTCCCCTAATGGGTTAGTCCTCCGGAGTAGGACACAAAAACATTATCTAGGGACTATCCTTCTTCTCGTTAAGTAGGAGAGTTCTTAGCAAAGAACAGCTACACCACAAACCTATCAGCCCTGAGCTGAGAGAAGATGTTTCAGATGAGAGGAAACCAGCAAAAATTTTGGCAACATGAAAAAACAAACTAGTTTGACACTACTCTTAAAGGATGACAGTAGATCCACAGGAATGGGCACCAATCAAAAGGAAATTATTAAAATATCAGAAATGGTATTCAGAATGGGAAGATTCATAGTAAATAAAATATCTTCAAAATACTTAGTCATCAACGTGGCCAAAGTCAAAAGGAAGGAGAAAATTCTATAAGCTTTAAGACGAAGGCAGCAACTAACTTACAAAGGAAAACAGATTTCAGGAAATCAGGCTAACAGATTTCTCAGTGAAGGCCTTACAAGTTAGAAAGGGAAGACCAAGTCCCTGACCCAAGTGCCTCATTTCAAATCTTAAATTGAACAACTTCCTGCCAAGAATTGTATATCCTGTAAAACTAAGTTTAATAAATGATGGAGAAATAAAGACTTTTCTGGACAAGCAAACTGTAAGAGAATTTGTCACTACTAGACCTGCCCTATAGGAAATAATAAAAAATGTATTATTCATGCAACAGCACAACAGATACCCTCCAGGGTAAAATTACCCACAAGTTATAGCTCACAACTCTTATAAAGCAATAGCACAAGAAGGAAAACAAAACAGAAGTATCATCTAGTATGATGAACAGAATAGCATCCCACATATCAATACTAACTCTCAATGTGAACCGTCTGAATACCCGCATTTAGAAGATGTAGACTGGCTGAATGGATGAAAAAGCACAACCCAATAATTTGTTGTCTCCAAGAAACACATCTAAACTACAAGGATGCACACAGACGCAAGGTAAAGGGATAGGAAAAAAATTCTATACAAACAGAAACCAAAAGCAAGCAGGTATAGCCATTCACATAGCAGATAAAATAGACTTTAAATCAACAATGGAAATTTTAAAGAAAGATAGTGATTTTGGTATAATGGTTAAAAAAAAGAGCAATTGAACAAGAAGACTTAACCATCTTAAATATATATGCACCTAACACAGGAGCTGCCTGTTTCATAAAGCAAATTCTTTTAGATGTAAGCAAAGAAATAAACAGTAGCATCTTAATTGCCAGGGACTTCAACGTTCCACTGACAGAACTGGAATGATCATTGAAGTGGAAAGTGAATAAGGAAACTCTGGATTTAAATAGGACTCTAGAACAAATATACATAAAAGACAATTACAGAACATTCTACACCCAAACCACTAAGTATACATTCTTTTCATCAGCATATGGGACATTTTCCAAGACTGAGCATTTTTTAGGCCACAAAACAAGTCTCAGCAAATTAAAAAAAATTGAAATCATACTAGGTATCTTCTCAGACCACAGTGGAGTAAAACTAGAAATCAATTCCATGAGAAATACTCAAATCCACATAAAGTCATGGAAATTAAACAATCTGCTGCTGAATGATCCTTAAAGAGTCAATGAAGGAATTAAGATGGAAATGACAAAGAGGACACAGGCTTTCAAAAATCCATAGGATGCAGCAAAAGCAGTCAAAGAGAATGATAAAGAGAACAGAAGCTTTCAAAAATCCACAGGATGCAGCAAGAGCAGTTCTAAGGGGAAAGTTCAGAGCCTTAAATGCCTATGTCAAAAGGACAGAAAGATCACAAATTATCAACCTAATGCCACATCTCAAGGAACTGAAAAAAGGAAAACAAACCAAACCTAAAGGTAGCAGGTGAAAAGAAATAATGAAGCTCAGAGCAGAACTAAATGAAATGGAAACCATTATAACAAGACAAAGGATCAAT